AACCAGCGGTTAACCGGCTAACCGACCCCTTCCCTTTCCCCAAAACAACCCCGCTTCAATCCTCCTCCTCCCTAACCCTAAGTCGACTCCCTCCTCCTCCCAAAGCATTCGACCTTCGCCGCTCAACCCTTCCGCCCTTCCCCCTTCCAGCGTAGCGGCGCAAAAAACCTCAAGCCGCCGCCTCCACCTCGTCGCCCCGCCACCAGTAGCATCCAGGCGACAACCCGCCGCCTCCACCCTCGCCCGGTGGAACACCGACCCCGCCTTCCTCCCTCCGTCGGCCGTGAGCCAGCCCTCCTCCCCCGCCGGCGCTAGGTAAGAATTCGCTCTGCCAGCCCCACTCGAGATTAATCCTGGCGAGCTCAATCAGCGGCTTGGAGGTCTATGGTCGGGAAGCGGAAGCGGGTTGGAGCGTCGACGGGAGGTATTGTTGGGCGGCGGTCCACGAGGTGAGGCGGGATGTGGAAGATGCGAGGCGTCGGCTAGACCTTTCACTCCGACTTTTGTCTCGTCAAAAGCTTTCAATCCCGGCGTCTCGTCAAAAGCTTTTGTCTCCTCCCTCGCCCTCTTTGTTTGCTTCGTGTTGGGATGAGAAATGGAGGAAGGAAGGAGAGAAGAAGAAGTGGTTTGGTGGTGGTGGGTGTGTGAAATGGTGGAGGAAGGAAGGAGAGAGAAGAGAAGTGGTCTGGTGGAGGAAGGAAGGAGAGAGGAGGAGATAAGGGATGCGTGGTGCAGAATTTTTATTTTTTTTTGTAGAAAAGCTAGTTTTTCGGTTGGTCGGCTAATCGAGCCTAAAACCGAAACCGACCGGTCGGTTGGCCGGCTAACTGTGACCTCTATCACGGTCGGTGGTCGACAGCAATAGGGGGTGACTCAGTTTAACCGATAACCGAGTTTTCAGTTTTCGGTTAAACCAAAACCGACCGACTGCCACCCCTAGATGTATCAGTGCAATGGTAGTTCCAAAAAAGGAACGTAATTAATATGAGTTCAGTATACAGGTGCAATGGTAGTTAAAAAAAATGAATGTAATTAAGATGAGTTTTTAATTTCCAAAGATTATTAAATGCAACACGAATTTAATAAAAAAAATTATAATTAATAAGGATGTGATCTTTACAACCCTTAGAAGGGTTAGCATGCTAACCGATCCTTATATTTGAAATACATCTATCCAAACGCAATAAATTTCAATCTCGAGATTTACCTGTTTCATTTTTAATGAAGTTGAACCCATTGACCAAACAAAAACGTCAAAATCGCATGCTATCCTCGAGATGCATGCGCTCTGCAAGTGTGCCTTCGTTTACACTTCCCCAGCCCCAATCCCCAATCGGAAGGTGAAATATCATTATCTACTTTGTTTATAGTTATACCCTTGTTTTTATTGTTTGTTGGACTAATAGTAAACGAGTAATCTTGTATTATATTGCAACCCTAATTACCAAACTCTTTTGTTTCGAAAGCTTGAGAATTAGAACCTTATTTTAGAATACACGTATGTTTTAGAAACGTATACGGTAACCTAATTACTTGTAATTTTTTATAGGATTGACATCATTTATCTATTAAAATTGGTTATGCAAAGAGAACAGAGTTGAGAACCAGCAGCATACAGAATTGGATCAACAACAAGGCAGTGCAGTACAAGCTAGCTCGATGACAAAAGTAAGATTTGAAATTATCCATGTCTTCTATATATTCATAATATAAATATTGAATTAATAATTATTTAATAAATATAATTAAAACTAATAATATTCAAATAATTCATTCATAGATAAAATATAACCGACTAAACAATTATTGTTTTCATAAATAACCGTGACAGGATTTCATATTGTGAAATAAACGTAAATAGATTCGTTGTGTACACTCTTAAGTAAGTCTCTTTTAATATATCTCACTAAACAATCATTAGCAAGTTGGTCACTAATTCGACTTGGAAATCTGTTCTTAATATAAATCATAGAAAACATAACAAAAACTACTAAAAATGCATTGATATAAATTGGAATATAAAAAATATATGTCCTTGAGAGCACTATAATTTTAGTGTTATCAGGTACCCTAATATTCAAAGACCTTGTTCTAGAGGGCCTCCCGGCGCACCCCATTGGTCGGCCCTATTGTTAAGTCGCGGATATCGATTAGTTCGGTTAATCATAGAAATCGAAAACTCAATGAGGTCTTTCTCTTGAAACCAAAATCGAACTGTAAAAGAGTTTTACCAGTTTTGATTAAGACCCTTTAACGGTTCGATCTAGTCTAAATGAGAGCCTATAATATTTTCAATCCCAATATACGAGTTATTGAAAGCAGTCTAATATGAATTTTACATTATGAGCTTACACAAAGCGTCAAGTGAAAATTATGTTATGGGTTTGAAGTTTTCACCTTTTACTGCCATTAACATAAACTTTTCCTATCAAATCCTCTAATACTATACCGAGAACTTGTTAATCCAAACATAAACTCAATTATGCACATATCATACTTTCTCTTTTTACTCTCTTCTAATTTCAAACTGTTCCTCACTGACTGATAGCAAGACTGCAAGAGTATTCTTTACTTAATACTCTCCATGATCCAAGACATAGTGCGATTGGGGTATGTAGAAGAGTTTATGGGTGCGATCAACTTATTTGTTGAGTTGTTACCCATTAAACCAAAACCATGCTTAAAAGGGTCTATAATGTGCATAAATGCCCTTTTAAAATTACGTAGTGATGTTTGGATTGTAATCACGATGAAGTTTTGGAAGCAATGAGTTTGTTATTCAATTAGTTAATTAGATAGTGACTTGGGTCACGCCAGCCATAATCTCAACTCTTCAAAACCTCTCTCTATGTCAATTCCTTGTTGACAATGATTAAACACCAAAACAAATTATGGCGGGCGGGCTGTGAAATCTACATTCCATCCGATCCAAAACCCTAATCATGTCAATTAATGTAATAATTTGGTAGATTACCGACGTGAAGAATCAACATATATAAGACCTTTCTATGAGCTATCTTTAGTAAAAGAAAACAATTTCATTTATAGACGTTGAAATATTAAAAAAAATAAATCATTCGAGATATTCTAAGTTTATGGATAAACGGTGTAACTGCTTATTTTTTGCCATAACCAAAATTACTTATTGAAAAATAGTTATTGAATCACACAGAAATTGCAATGCATGTCTAGGGTATGATCTTATGAATATGTTGAGGGTAGTAATTAGCATAGTTAGTAAATACTCCGTTTAATACACGTATATGTACCCGTACGTACTTTATCCGTTTAAAACTTCCGTATCCGTATTATTGTCAAGCCGTTTCATTTTCCCCCGTTCATTTCATGGTTCCCGTACTAAACACGTATAAAACCCGTATAACACGTTTATTATCCGTATTTTACGAATTAAATTGTTAACTTTACTATTATTTATATATTTATTTATTTTTAAAATGATTAATTTTATATATTTATGACTATTAACGTACTATTAAACATAATTTTAGCTTAAAGATGAAGTATAATGCCCGTACGTATCTTTTACGTAACTTTCCCGTACCGTATTTTACTAACTATGGTAATTAGAGCGAGTTAATAAGTTTATTGGGTTTGTTAAAAGTCTGATAGCGATGTATCTAAATAGGTTGTTAGATCATTAGGATAGATGACATTAGTTTGTTGTGTCAAGCTTTGATAACGTGTTAAATAGAGTGATATCAGGTAATTAAAACGTAAAGCATTCTAACATATATATATTAAAAAAAATCCTTTTCGAAATGACTTGAAATTAATTTGTATCCGATTATTTACTCCAATCAACAGTTTAGTCAAACGAGGATGAAGTCTATAACATTATCGACAAACATGAAGTCTATATCCTCTTATGGGTTTTTATCATTCCCTTTGCGTCTTTTGCTTGTTAGACTTTTCACAAAACCGCCCGCTATCTTTTGCTTGTCAGACTTTTCACAAAACCGTTACAAAACAATTTATTTCAACAATACTTCGATTAAATACGAACTACGATTTATAATTCTTGTTAGCCTTATTATTGTATTGATCGGTCATAACCTCTCCGAACTTATCTTAGACGAATGAAATACAAATTCAAATATACAACACACATAATTTGTGTGGTACAAAATACCGCAAATATATATATGGTGGCGTCTTCAGTGCACTCGCTTTTTTGGGTGCATTCAGTGCACTCGCTTCATAACCGTCATTTTAAACATGCAATTAATGTCAAAATTATGTCAATCATCACTTATGATGTGATGAATAATAACACACATGAATTTGCACAAAAACCATTAAAGATTTACTTTAATTTGAAGGCCTTGGAGTTTATAAATTTAAGGTTAGGGTTAGGGTTTACAATTTGGGGTTTAGGGATAGAACTCAAAATTGGAGGTCTAGGGCTTAGGGTAATATGCTAATTAGTTGTTATCATATCTTATATCATCATATTACACTAATTCTACAAATTAAAATTCAAAATCTGACACCTTAAAACTAGTTTTTGAGTTTGGTGCATTGAACGCACTCATTTTTGTGAGTCCGCCGAAGTAGTCACCGTGTATATATATAACAAACAAACAAAACTAAGCGCCTTTCTGCCCCACACTCTCTCTGCCAAAAATTGGCGGTGTACAAATACGATCATCCGCATATATAACAAATAATCAATTGGAAAAAAGCTTACACGAAAAGAGAAATAAATTTGACAGGCCTCTCCCCCTACGGCACCTACTGGCGCGTCCTCCGCCGCCTCGTCACCGTCGACATGCTCGTCCTCATGAAGATCAACGACGGCGCTCCCGTCCGCCGCCGCAACGTCGACAAGTTGATCGACTTGGTCCGTGACGAGTTCTCCCCCGCGGCAGAATCCTGAACAAGGCTACCGTGAAGGACGAGACTCAAGCAGAATCCGCCGCCAAGGATTCCGGATAAATGGCCGGGTAGAACGGAGGAAGAAGAACCGCTGAACTTCTGTCTCGCCGCCATCTCTTCCCGTTAGGCCTCTCTGTTTTGGTTGACGCTACTGTTTAGTGGTTTTTAGTTCTTACTCTGTTTTCCTTTGGTTGTTTTCCGTTTCCATGTTCTGGTTTGCTTTTGTATGTGATTTAGCTGGCCTGTTTGGTTTTGCTCTGTTTTGGTTTTCGTTTTTGTGGTGTTATGCAGATTCTGTCGCACGAGCCCTGCATCTGCTTCACTTGGTCTGGCTTTAGGTTCCAAGTTCCAGCACATCGATATACCCGCTCCCCTCAGATGGTTCGCCGCCGTTGGAGGCGCCGCCATGCCTTCTATGATGGTGCGGCCTCGTCGGAAGTCGGAACTACGACAGCCTCTGTCCTCTTTCTCCCCGATGGTCAGGCGATAGCGTTCAGGCGGTGGCGGTCAAGCGGTGAGATGGATAATCATTAAGGAAAGGGCTTTTGACGTGGCAACAGTGGAGATGGATACGTGGTTTATTTTGTGGTGCAGCACCACCTGGGCCATGGGCCTATTTGCCCAACGTGGTTGTTTTTTATTTGTGCAGGGGATAGTGGTTTTTCCACTTTTTGGCCTGGACTTCTTGTTTTTTGGTATGCAGGACCGTTGAATTTCAGCTTTGATCAAGTGAAGGCGCGTGTATCTATTGCGGTGGTGGGGACGTCACGTGGCTCTATCCTTATCTCACTCCAGCTCCTCTTCTAGATGGGCTATGTTTGTTCGTTTTGCAGTCGATGTGTTTGTCCATTTTATTTGTGAAATTTTGGCTCTTTTGTAGTTTATGTGTTTGTCCATTTTGCAGGTTTAGCTGCTTATAGGGCTGCCCTTTTGTGGCATTAACGGCCCTTTCATAGGTAGTTCGACAACAGTCGTACTACCTGGTTTACTTTTGTACTTTGTATCACTCGTGACTACTACCTTTATAGATGTCTATGTTAAAAAAAAAACAAATAATCAATTGGACCCAAAATAAAATAATTGAGGAAAAAGGTTTATTTCATGCTTTTCGGCTGCTGCTTTCATTCACGGGGAAATAATCCAAGAGGACCAAGACCAAGTGGGAGGTGAAATAAAAGTGAGGATAGTACATTAATAAAGCAAAAGGGAGGAGAAGCCTTTAATAATAGTATGAATGAATTGTAACAAAAGTACACAAATATAACCAACATTTAAACAAATCCACAAAACATGTCAAGTTGAAAACCTCATAAATTCAACCATCATAACCGGTGAAATCAACACACAAAAACCACGTAATTCAATCATTGTATGAATTATGTCCAACACAAGAACCGGAAATTAAATTGTACAAAGGTAAAATTTTTATAAATAGAGAACTTCATTTTCATTTCTGACAAAATTATATCCAAACAAATTGTAAGTCACAATACTTAATTAAGGCACTTATAGCGAAAAGTTGGAAAATAGAGATATATATCGTCTTTTTTTCTGTTTCTCCCCTTTGCTCTATCTATGGTTGCTCTCATTGATCAGAGAGGTCCAGTCTGAGATGATAAGACACCAAAATGTGTCCCCTTACAACCAAACAACGTTTGCTGCTTTCCTTCCATTCTCATTCCCACGCCCTCCATCCCTTTTCTTTTTTCACAGTGTACTGTCGTCGTCTTCCCATTATATTCCATCATTCTATTTCTATATCCTCCATTTTCATTCCATCATCATTCTCTGGACCTTCAACCTGTATCCTCACTCCCTCGCTCCATATTAGCATGGTAAAGGAAACCGGATCGTACCGGCCGGTTGAACCAGTAAAACGGAAACCGGGGTCTGGTCGATACGGTAGCTGTTTTGCAGGTAAAAAATCGTCCCGGCCGGTTTTCACTGTTAAACCGGTACAATTCAAAAAATCACTCGGTTTTGGTCTAACCGGGGGTAAGCTGATGGGAAGGAAACAACCTCGTTTTGGCATTAGAAAAAAAAATCAGCCGAAGGTTACCGCTCAAAACCCTAAATCATCAGCGACTAAGCGCAGTCTTGTTTTTTCGTTTCCTGCTGCTGGCGACCAGGACCGCGGCGATCCTCCTCTTCTAGACCGGCGACCAGGACAGCGGCTGCTCCGCGGTAGCTCCGTGCGGAGCCGCTGCTCCGGCACGCGTCTCCCTCCCCTGCTCAAGAAGAACACGGCAGCATGTATGTTTCATAAACAGCTCACTATCTTGAATGGTTTGGATGTTTTGACTAATTTTTAATTATAATGCTGAGTTTTTTTTGTTCAATTCTGCCCTTTATTCTAATGAGAATTGTGGTTTGAGAATGTTGTTTGGTTGTTTTGTACTTTGAACGAAAAATGAATATTGTTTGGTTTGAGAATGTTGTTTGAACTTGCGGTTTAAGAATGTTGTTCGGTTGTTTTGTACTCGATCGTAAACATGCATTTGATCGATTTTGTAGTTAATTCAGTAATGTTGTAGTTTGTTGATTGTTATATTAAATATGCCTATTTAGTTTATTCAGATTTGTTATCCGGTATATTCCGTTTTTATTCCGGTATTATTCCGAAACGGTATCCTAAATCTGCTGGTACGGTTTTTTAACAAAAAAATATGTTTTTAATTACAAAAATGGTATTTTGCTGGTACACAACGATTGAACCACGGTAGTACCACAAAATACCCTACCACTGACGGATCCGGTATGACTTTCGGTACGGTTTCCTTTACCATGCATAATCCATATACCGGTACAATTCTTCAAATGAAAGTTTTTATATATGAGTTTGAAGTTATCGAGATTCGAACAGAAAACCTCTCGATTACAAAAGGTTCTGATATGTCAACAACTAAATAGTTCCAATAACTCGAGCTACTGAAAGAGGTTCAATTATGAATCATATACCACTTACGAACATCGAGATATATCTGTATAATGCCCATATAAAAACCGACAATCGACATCACAATCAATCTATTCCATTGTTTGCTTGATTTTTCGTGTTTTGTTGAATCAGATAGAGATGTCTAGGTGTGTCGCGATGGGCTGGATATGCATGTGTAGTGTCACGACTTACGACTTACGATGTCTAGCTACTGAAAGAGGATTCGACAATGCAAGAAAACGAAACCGCACACACACGACACACGATTTACGTGGTTCACTAACACAATGTGTGTTTAGCTAGTCCAGGGCAGGAGAGAGCCAGCTTCACTATACTTTGAGGAGATACATATTACAGAGGAGTATGAGAAGTATTTTTATAGTACTTCTCCTAGGTCCAACCCTAATCCAATATGGTAAAGGAAAAACAGTTACACACCAGGCCCAAAACACGAACCCAAACAACATTGAGCCCATACACAGCGGCCCTGCGGCATTGCCCCCGCACCCCACTAGGGCGTTGCCCCTGGGCCCCACTCATTGACTGGGCAACGAGACCCCGTGACTTTCAGTCGTAACGGCTGATAGTCCAATTTAAATCATATCACCATGTAGTTATGCTTGACTAGTATTTTGCCCTAATAGATTATACCTGTAAGTTGGGTTGCTTCATTTCTTTACTTCTTTTTGTCTTCCCTTTCTTACACCCTGTTTTGGCTATGAAAGTTCCAATCATTTGTTTGTTGTTTTGCAATCTTGCACAATCCAACTGATCATCATCAACAACATAATCCTTGACATCTAATCTTCCAGTCCGCCTGGCAGGAAACATAATTAAGTATAATTGCTGGATCTTCACATGTATCTCAAATCATATCGGACTACCCTACAGCATGCCAGGCCTAAATATATATTCCACTCCATCCAGAGACTTAAGGGTATTGGGTGGGTTGGGTGGATTTTGAGCATAAAATGCATCCACTCGTGGCTAAACGGATTAATAATTTTTAACCCATCACCTACCCACATTTAGCCTCGGGTTGGGTCGGGCGGATGGTGAATGATGCGGGTGGGTTTGTGAGTTCACCCACATTACAATGTATATAATATAAAGGAGTCAACTTGACATGATGATTGGTGGAGAGAGTTATCGGGCGAAAACAAGAAGATGGAACAGGGGGAAATGTCGAATTAGTTTCAAAATTGGATAAAAATTCTATTATGGAGGAGTTTTCTAAAGTTGGAGATGATTATCAAGTGCAGAGAACTAAGGAAAATAATTCAACGGAGGAAAGAGAGGTGATCTAGGCACAAGAATCAGAGGGAAAAAAATAAAGGGAAGAAGAGGGGATCGTTGTTTGGAATGTTGGCTTGGAGGCTCAATCTCTAGGAGCAACCCTAATTTTCGTCTAACGTCTCCACTCTTCTCTCTCCAGCGCCAACAACTTTGTTCTTTTTGTTGTTGTGTTGAGCGGGTCACCCGCGCACCCGCCCATAACCCACCTACCACCCGACGGATGGCTCCCAGTGCAACCCGTCACCCACCCACAGACCCACCCACAAAACTAAATTCGGGTGAAATGCGGGTAGATCAGCCCAAACCCGCGGATAATCCGCCCGCATGCCCAACCCTACAGAGACCTTAACGAACTTGTTGTATTCATAAGTCTGCTTATAGTCCTTGAATAAAGGAAGACAAACGAATCACTACTAATCATGGGATTGATCCGAGGTCAAATATAGTAATGATGCCTCAAATTCTAATTAGCAAAACTCTATCCCATTAATTAGCAAAACTCGTACCATGATTCTTAGCTAAACCACTGGCGGACTGATCGAAAAAAATTGTCTATAGAAGCTCAAGCCGGTATAAGATTTTGTCGAGAGGAAATGATAATAAAATGAGTAATTGAATTTAATAAGTTGAATAAAGTCTTGCATTTATTCAGTTTTATTTGCGTGAAACTATGATACAAATAGTCAAAATATGAGAAATGCAAATAGATGTTGAGGCAAACCAAGATATAATGAGTAAGCACAGGGTGGGACGAGACATAGAGGACAAAAGTAGTGCTCATACCTCGCCCCACGCTGCTGCTGATCGGCCAAGACTTGCCCATTGTGAATTAGGTCGAATAATATCTAACGAGTTCAAATTGTCACCTCTAACCATAATAACACTAACATCGTTACTACTCTACATCCTCCCTTTTAACATTAGTTTATGTTAACAATGACATATTCTATCAATATGTTACTAATTAAATCACAATTGTGCCACTAAATATCATTTTACTAAATTATCTACTTTACTGTTTCGCAAACCATGAATATAACAGAAACAACATGATATACGAATACGACCACGAGGTTGTGCTTAGTTTGGTACTTAACTAAACATGAAAGCTTTCTATTGGGCGAGGTAATTAAACATGAACCAATAATACACGCATTAACTTTCCTTTTAATAGACCTTTTGGTGGAGGGTTGCCAATTGACAATTATGTACAATAATAATCATAAGCGGCTGGGTTATAGGTATAATATGCCCCTCTACTATGACGTTT